ACGATTTGGGCAATCATGTGGTGAATCGCGAGTAGGCGTACACCGTCCCTCCCTGGATCTCCAGATCATTGCAATCTGATTGGCTCCCTAGTTCCTTTGGAAAGCAGTCGTCTTCCGTCACAATCGCATTTTCGTCCAGAGGAACATGTTCGCCAAGCTTGCCGTCATTGCCGCGTGCGCCGCCCTTGCTGTGTCTGGAGCCCAGAACTCGACCACCAACTCGTCGAACGTGATTGTGCCAACGAACTCTTCGCTCCCTGCTGCTGCCACGACTCCGTACGGCCGTGTCCTTTTCGGCAAGTTCTTGGAACAACTCGAAATCCAGCACATCGACAACGATCCGTTGGACGACGATGAATACAATCTGGCTGTGAACGAGCTCGAAAACCTCTTGACTGGCAAGACTGTTGTCGAGTCTAAGGCCCAAAAGAAGAAACTCCGTGCAGCTCTGCGCAACTTGTTGGCCCGCATGACCCCTGAAGAAATGGAGCAATTGTTCATTGATGTCACCTTTGAATTGACCGTCAAGCTGTTCAAGAAAACTTTTGGCAGTGAAATTGACGTCGATGCCTTGTACGAAAACATGACCGCGACTGGTGATGCCGTGACGTTTTCCTCCGCGGACGACGGTTCTTTTAACGGCTTATCTACCTCGGACATTGTCTGCATCGGATCCGCTTTCGGTGGATGTGTTCTGTCCGTCGCTGTGGCCGTTGCCGTAATCGGCGCCCGCAAAAAGAAGGCCGCCGCTGCTGCTCAAGTTTCGTCGGAAAACGTTGTCGATGAGATCGAAGCTGCTGAAAACCTCGCGGCTGCACAAAAGGACGCTGCGTCTGAAGTCGAAGACATCAAGACCGACTCGCCCGCCGTCGTCGCCGTCTAGACGTAATATTTCGTCGTTAACATTAACTGTTTTGAATTTTCCTTGACTTATTGTCGTAGTTTACATTTTTTTCGTAGTCTTGCCCGGTTTTGATACGCAGTGAATAAATACTACATGGTGAATGTTGGAATTCGACATCCGCGCCGACAATTCGAAACAATCATCTTCATCGGTCTCATTTGACGTACATGAAGTGAACTTTCTTGAGGAGGATGAGGGGCATGGCATCTTGAATTGCATTCGTGACTCCATTCAAGGTCCAGTCGGACGGTGCTGGTGTATGTAGTGGGGTTGTCTATCACCGTCTCGTGGGGGAATACCTCGTCTTGATTCGTGGAATTCAATTAATTTTAGCCAATCAAGGAGGTTGAAGAGGCGCCGGTTCTGCGACATGATACTTAAACACGTTTGATTGGCTGATGAAAACGCTAGGTTCCACAAAGCATCCGAGTGGGGCAAGGCGAGGGATATTCCATTCCCACATTTTCCGTTCTTGTGCACGATGCGACTCGCGCTCCTCGCTGCGTCGGCTACCGTTGCCACGGCTGCCTTCAACCTTACCAACGGCACCAACACGACGCTCGTCAACTCAACCAGTGACGTGATTGAATTTCTCAACGCTTCGCTCGTCAACACGACAAACTCGTCGTTGTCGAACGAAGCGATCAAGTTTACCCGTGTCCACGAACACTCGCGCTTGTTTGACTACGAATACAAAGATGCAGTGATTGTCGGCTCTGGTGTGCTTGGATGCTTGGCGGTAGCTGCGGTTGCAATGGCTGCGGTGAAGAAGCACCATGCTGCTGGAGCGGCGGCGTCGGACGCGTCTGTCTTGGCTGACGATGCCGTAGACGAAATTGAAGCTGCTGAAAACGCTGCAGAAGCACCCAAGGACGACGAACCTGCTCCGCCCGCTTCTCCCGCCGACAAGGACGAAGATGTGCATGAAGTGTCGACTGACTCCCCGTCTGTCGTATCTGTTTAACATGGATGGTTGTTGTATCTAGTCATTCTTCACATTCGCGCACCCACGTCAGCGGCACAATCAGTGGTAGACATTAGGTTAAAGCACTTTTGACTTCAGGAGAGATTGGACATGTGGCGAGTATAACGTGTGCAACGTCCGAACCCCCGACATGGATGAGACGTTAAATGAAATATAACGTGTTGCAAAACAATTTCAGAGTGGTGATTGGGTCATTCTCTGCAGCAGCATTGTTCACTGTCAGTCTTATGTGGCACAAGGTGGTCGTTGCCGCTGCGGCCGCCGCCTCGGTGACGTCGGCGCACGTGCCAGACATGAACGCGACGCAAGCCTTGAACTTGACGGCGTCCGAAAGCGACGTCCTCTTTCCCGCTGCAGAGGTGTTCCCATATGGACGTGAGCTGTTCAAGAAGTTCCTTAACGAGCTGAACATGCACCACGTTGAAGGACACCCCCTGAGCACCCTCGAGTACAACGAGGCTGTGGATGGTGTCGAAGACCTCATTGAGGGTCGTTGGTCGTTCAATCATGCGTTCAATGCGAAGGTGAAGCACGGCGTCTTAAAGTTGATGAGCCGGATGAGTCCCGAAGAGCTCGAGCAACTCTTGACGATGTCGCGTATGACCTGACCTTGGCCTTCCTCAATGAAGAAATCGACGACATCGAAGTTGGTAAGGCAGTTCACACCTCTGCCCACGCATTTGGATTGACCACCGCAGCTGCTGGAGACTATGTGTTGGTGTTATGCGTGTTTGCGGGGTGCGTTGCAATGATCGCCGCCCTTCTCTCTGTCGTTGCGACCAGGCAGAGCCCTGCATCACGACGTTCGTCGTCCGTAATTACAGCTGAAGTCATCTTGGCCGAGATTGAAGATGCCGAGAAGATGTGTCTGCAGACATCCTCTTCGCTGGGTGCCTAGTGTTTTCCGTTGGGACAACCATGCCAGTCATTGCCTGCGGATTGTTACATTCCCCTCGTGTGTTGTCCACTTTCAGCGCAGTCGTCGTCAGGCGTGGTGTCGGTCGGGCTGCAAAAGTCGCACTCGCTTGCCCTCGATAACTCGACCAATTTCGAGCAAGTCCAATGGGTTGTCAACAACAACGCACCCAAGAGACAGGTGCGTGAGCTCGAAAGGGCTTGAAATGGCTGTGCAATGCCCCATCAACACGAATTGAACGGCCTAACGGACGCACCCCATCTTCGCGGGTTCCTGACGCTGTGCTGGTGCTCACCGAGACAGCCACATCCCACGCGATCGCACTCAACATCACTGAGCTTGAAAAGACCACACAATACTTGATGCGCGCCAGATGATTCCCCATGAGGATGGCATGGACCTGCGACCCCTATGGGAATCTGACATTCAAATGACATGGTGACGTGCGCAGCCACCACGGACACAAGAGCCTGACACAGACGCTGAATGGCTCCATCGAGCTCCAGACCAAGCATGTTGCCCTCACGTCGGAGAAAACGTCAGTCATGTCAGCACCATGATCGGTGACAGTCGGGCATAGCTAGCCGTAGGCGGGAACCCGCACTTCACGTTGACTGGGGACGCATCTACCAGAGTCGGCATGGACTCGGTGGTGTTGCTTGGGGGATTCAGTGGTCGACATGCCCAGATATCCCAGGCGGCGCGCCTTTTGCCGTGTAGCGATTCAACGCAGTACTCCCCCGATGCTTTGAACAGAAAGTAGACGCCAGTGGTCATGGCGGCCTACAGAGAAATAGCAGCGTGTCGGTGGCATGCCTTGTCACACAGCGCCTTCGCAAGGGCGAGCCGCTGTGGATTGCCCATCCCAATCACCCTTTTTCAATTCACCAGCGCAGATCCCGACCAACCATATAGTTTTGGTGATGCGACCCAGCTCCTCCACAAAGACCAAGCACACCCAACGGCCATACAGTAATACTGCACGACTTGTTCATTGACATAAAGTTGAACTGCGTGGAAGTTGTAAGATTCGTGTAGTGCACCGGCTAAGCTGCGACATCAACCGCCACCAACGCTCGCGGCTGTGGAGCTCCGTGCTTGAAGGGATGCGCTCGTCCGCCCATTTCACAGAGCCACGGAAACGGGATTTGACTTCATAATCATGCCGACGACAAGGTCCTCTCGCGTTCACGGCGCCATGATGGATCTCGCAAGTGTACTGCTTCCTCGGCGTCTGGTCCACGAACGACCACGGAGGCTTCTCGAAACCTCGGCGCCAGGTCACGGCGCACGAGAAAGAAGGCAGCCGACGACTGCACAGTCCAAAACGCTCTCGCCTTGGGCATCACGGCCGCAACAAGAAACAAATGCATTGGCTGTGATGGAAACGCACAAAACCTGCCGCCCATGGCGCGAATTCAGCAGCCGCCGCTTGCTCGCATACATGCTTGCCCGCGTCAAGAGTCGTCGGCCAAGTGAGACATTTTTCTTTCACAACCCAGACGAGCTCGAGTTTAACGTCAGGTTAAACGACATATCGCCGTTCTGCATTGGAGACAATACAGTTTAACCCATGGTTTTTCTACGACAAAACTTCGTTTGGCGATACAAACGGCAAGTTATTCGTGCAGCAGACGTCTTCGGTCAACTTGGCAACCTCAACAACACGAAACACCATCCGTCGCGACACACGATTGCCACCCAGAGGGTCTGTAGCACATAGGAAACTCCATCGAGATGTTGGGAAAGTCTAAGTTTTACAATGCTCATGTGTCGTCAATCGGGATGCCAACGTGAGACAGAGAATGCAAGGGAGCACCCCTGAGAAGCATCCTCTCCACATCCATATGGTACAGCTGACCAGCGTACAGTACCGGTACTGTACCAAACGTAGCTTAAGTGCGATATTGCCACTCTCCTCTGTCGACTACACGGACAGCGAATTTACCACAAAACGTCACATACTTATCTAAATTAAAGTAAGACTAACTCAATCTTCTATACTTGTATTTATTAAATGCATATTCGTTGTATTTTCTACTGCTTACAGCACATCCAAAATTTCGCATTTATCTGAAAGCGTGAGTTCCGTCGTTTTTCTCCTTCCTGTCGCAACTCAGCACCTTCGACCGACCATGAATCGAGCACAAACAGCACGCGGAGGTAACATGTCTTACGGTGATCTCTTTCTCTTTCCAAAGACGGACGCACAGCCGTCCATTGTGGGCTCGTCGTCGCTTGCTCGAAATTGCCTGTGCACATCATCTGGGCCAGATTCAACGATACTCCCATATGGCGCAACCCTACCCCCAAGAGTTTTGCAAATCCGATTGGTCCATTCTGTATCGTATTTTCTACGCCGGATACTGTCCGTCGGATTTTTGGAAACAGCCAATCACAGGCCGTGCAAAGTAGCTTGCACTCTTACTTGGAATTTGTATGCTACTGCCTGGTCGCGTGACGTGGGTTGCGACCACCATGTGGGTCATTTTTCGTTTCTCAACCAACATCTTGGTGCCGCCGCCGCTGCCGTCTTCGTGTGTCCGTGTCGTGCCCTTCAAATTCCTCTGTATAAAGCACCATGGCACCTCAGTTCAATGACGCTGCGACCTCTCTCGCACCTTCTGCATGCTCTTCGTCCGGTATGTAGACGGACAACCTTCCTTGAGCGCGCATCTTACGCCCGCTCGTTCAGATTCGACGCATAACTCCTCGACGGCATTCCTGCATCACTCGTACGATAAAGTGTTGTCCACGTCACGCAAGTTGCGAAAGTCTTGCTCACTGCCAAATTGTTCCCAACGGCCAGGCGAATGCATGCATTGCACGTGTGATGGTCGGTGCGGGCAGCATGAAGGGGGAAAGTGCGGCGTGCGGCGAGAGGGAAGTGGCAAGAGTTGCAAACGCCTTGGGTGCCCCAAAGATGAAACGTGTCTGCACAGCACCCGTGCCACGTGCTGTCATTGCCGCAATCTCGTGTCATCCCAAAGTCGCAGCATGAAGGCCAAGCGCGCGTCTGATGAACCTGAGGCTGTACTGGCTTCGTCGACCATAGAGCACTTCGCCCACGCTTCTGCACCTTCGTTGACCGCTTCCCCAACCTTCCTCACGCCGGCCTCGTCCGCCCTATTGTCACATCCGTTGCCACAAGTTGCCCAACAAACGGTCGTCTTGCCTTCGTCGGTCAACACCACCATTGTCGCTACTTCCACAATGGACAAGACTAACAAGGTGTCCCTGATGGATAAAAAGCGCAAACTTCCTTCTCCAGTTGTTGCCAACGCCAAGTCGTCGGCCAAGAAGCTCAAACAGTCACCAACCAAGCAGGTCCCTGGTGCCCTCTCGCCATCCGCTTCTGTCGGCGTTCCATCTTTGTGCGAGTACCCCGAGTGGTCGCGCCGTAGCTCGACGTGCAACTTGGTCGTGGTCGTGGAAGGCACGCAGTTCAACCTTCACAAATTCCCCATGTTGATCGCATGCCCTGAACTCAGGACCAAACTCCCTTCGTCCACCGACTCGTCCCCAGTTACCTTGCTCAAGTACGCGCACTTTCCGGGAGGTGCCGCTGCGTTTGAACTGGCGTGTATTTACGCGTACACTGGCGGGGCCGTCGAGATCAACTCTTCCAACGTTGCCCTTCTCTATTGTGCGGCACGTGTCCTCAAGATGCATGTGGGGCTTACCTCGCGATGTGCGACGTTGTTGGAGACTCTTGCGCATACGGGCAGTGGAGACGACGCTGTGCACATGCTGCTCCAAGTCGTTGAGATTCGCAAGTGCCTCCGCAACCAGAGCACCGACCGCATGATGGCGCTTTGCGTGCATGCTATCGCGAGACGTTACCCCTACGACAAGTCGACCATGTCATTGATCGTGAAGCTTCCGTTTGATGTGTTTCTTCACATCACGCAACTTGTGTTGAACGACCGACCTCAGCACGACGCCACCGCCAACAACGTTGTCGCTCGGCTTTGTGCCCAAGCGCACTTGGCGCAGGTGTTCCGCAGTGCCAAGACGGCAGACAAGGCAGCCGAGTTGAACCGTGTGTTGGATGTCTTGCTCTCGTCGGACTGTGAGACCAGTGTTGCGTTGCAGCAAGAGCATTCGACCCACCAGCTCTTGGAAGATGACGAGGAAGAAGAGGAAGGAGAAATTTTCGAGGACGACGACGGCACGGCCATGATGTTGGACATTCCCCATGTCAAGATGGAGAACGAATGGCTTGCCGCCGCGCAATTCGTGACGGCATCCGCGCAGTAGAAGACATTTTAGAAAAGTGTACAGATAGAAAAATAGCGATGTAGCATATTATAGCATACAGTAGGCAAGTCAATTATTAGAGTAATTTACAGATGCAGGGGAAATTCAACTGAATTGCAGTCCAGTATTCGTATCTTTTTCCAAAAGTTTGGGGAAAACATAAACTCTCCTATTTGAAAAAATATACTTCGAAGTATTGTGTAAAAAGAATGTGATTTTCGGAGAGAAATATGGACTATTTTCCGATTTGCTAATTCGTCTTTCTTTCAAGAAGGGATGACACGAGCGTGGATCACGATGTTGGGGTTGCTGGCGTCGATCGCGATGGCGGCGCCTGACGTGGCATTCCATAAGGCATGTGCAGGGAATGATGTGAAGACAGTGGTGTCGATCTTGAAAGCTGCGCCGGATGTGCTGAACGAGATCGGCCCAGACGGTGGCCAGACATGTTTGATGCGCGCCGTGCTGTTCGGGTCCAAAGCAGTCGTGAACCACTTGCTGTCGAACACAAACGTCGACGTGACTATAGGCGAAAAGGACGGGTATACTCCACTTCATGGAGCAGGGTTCCAAGGCCGCGCCGAGATTGCGAAGATCCTTATCGCCCATGGTCTAGACCCCCTCGACCAGCATGAAGACGGATACACACCGATGCATCGTGCTGCATGGGGCGGCGAAAGGCGACACACTGAAACTGTCCTGGCGTTCTTGGAAGCAGGCGTTCCGGCGGACCTCAAGGCTGGCGACGGCCGCACAGCACTGGAAATGACTCACAGTCCAGCGACAGTGCGCGTTTTGATGGAGCACGGCGCGAGCGGAGGGAGCCTGTAGAAGATTCGTCTTTCGTAGTTACTACGAATGATTAATGAAGTAACTCACAATCCGCGAGGTTTGCTCGTGCGATCGTGGTTTGTCCGTGCTTGGTCCACCAACGGTATCACACCAACACGATGGATATTCCACCAAAAAGGTCCTGGGGCATGACTGGGTGATTCTTCCGCGCGGTCACGCGGAGCGACTGAGCGGAGGAGCGCTCGCCTCCGTCTCGATCAAGTGGCTTGGCATGGCGGTGTCGAACAGCATGGCTGAGTTGAAAAACTTCGTGGGGTACAAGATGCAAAATGTAAAAATACATAGAAATTTCTAGTAAAATCCATCATTTTTGAACAAACTCGAATTAGTGAAGATTTGGCGCGACAGATCACATGGGCGCATCAGGCGACTCGGGGACAGGATCGTCCACATGCAGCTCGAAGGAGTCGTTTCTGGGAGTTGGGAACACTGAATGCATTGGGTCCCACCTCGGGTATGCGGCCCTGCTCTGCGCGTTCATCGTTCTCTTGTCTTTCGTCTTGGATCTCGCGATCGAGTTTGTCCGTCGCAAAGTCACGTGCCCCCAAATGATGCGCGTGGCGAACCGATTCTTTGAAGAACTCATGGTCATGGGCGTGATCTCCATGGTATTCCTCCTCGTTGTTCATCATGAAGCTTCATCCAGGATGTAGTGTATCTTTGCCTTCAACACAAGTGGCGTGATCGAACAGCTCAGCTCGGTTGTGTCTGGGCTGAGTCCATCTCAGCTGCTTCACTTCCAGGAGTTCTTCCACTATGTCGTGTTCATGACAGCGGTGTACTATATCTGCATCATGGTTGTCCTCATCCTCATCGCGACCGTCGTCCCGCGATATCTATACGAGCGACAGCGTCCCAGCGAAGGCACCGAACACGACGACGACAGCCATGACATTCCCATTGACTCTCCTTCGCGATGCAACTTGTCCCAAACGCAAACTGGTCGCGTGTCCGTTCGACGGTTCCAGCGACAGAACTCGGGTACGCATCCCCTCTAGTTTCCCAACTCTGCATGATGCGCTTACTACAGGATATGACTTCGTCAACGGGTCGCGCATGTACTACTTCCTCCGCCAGCGATATATGCGCGAAGGTTGGACGTTCCGCTTCAATCTCATCAAGCAGTTTGCGCTGTGGAAATCTTTCGAGGTGCTCGCGTACAACGTGTGCCAGTACCGGTCTGGGTACCTCTACAAGAACCCATCCGAGATGCAGCGCATCTTCAATTTGTCCTTTCGGGCCTCGCACAACGTAAACTTTAGCCAATTCAACACCCTCTGCACAAGGAACATGCTCGCCACGATCACCAAGTTTCACTACAGCGCGTTCATGATCCTGGTGATGCTGATTATGCTCACCGGGCTCCTCCACGACACGTCCATCTACTTGTACATGGGGATGGCGGCCACCCTGTGCGTGATGAACGTTGTCATCATGATCAAGACCCTGCGCATTCTCAAGGGCATCGTGAAGGACCGATTGCGCATCTATACGATGGACGATATTGAGCACATGCTCCCGCCGTCGTCCACGGCATTGCAGTCACCGCTTCGAAACATGCAGCGGTAGGCTTGCCTGTTCGCCCATCGTTGCTGACGATTTTCGCTGCTGGATAGGAAGCGACCTTCGTTCAAAGTCGTCGCGCAACTCGTTCGCGCAACCGTTCGCATGCAAATGTCTGTGTTGTGCCACCGCCAACTGCATTACCACGACTCGCGCTTCTGGTTTCGCAGTCCATCGTTCCTCCTCCGCTTGTTTCAGTTCGCCACGACCGGCCAGGCCTTTTACCTTGTCTGGCTCACTCTCGTCGTCGCCCACGACCACCTGGTCCAGCCATGGATGTACTTCTTCATGGCGGCGTTCCCGGTCATGTCGTTGCTGGTCGTCACACCGCTCACGATGCCGAGCCTCGTGCTGGTCATGAGCCTGACTGGGTACTTTGTCGAGCAAAACCCGGCCACATCCCACGACTTTGCCACCGACACCAACATGCACCTTCTCACGGCCAAGGACCGCATCCGCGTCGCTCGGAGGTTGGTGCTTTACGCTATAAACGATGGATTTCATGGACGTTGCAACTAGATCGTACTTGCGGTCGACGGACGACTGCAGCGACGTGATGGCTCCCAGTCCCATGATCAGCCCTGCCAACAGCTCGACCAACAACCCACCGGGTCCAGAAATGCTCTTGCACATGTACGACGCATTCGTGCCGTCGCCGGTGCCGTCACCACTGCCGTCGCCGAAACCACGCCGACCATCGAGTCTGGCTGGAATCTTCGCGTCACCGGCGACGACCCCCGGCGGCGCTCGAGTCGTCGGCGGGTTCTTTGGTAATTCAACTCCCTTGAGTACCGATTATACCAAGATGCAAGAAGATGCCGAGAGCGCGACGTGGTCGACGGGACTTGCCCCACAGACGACGCTCCAAGCCATTCACAAGCCCCAACACCACCACACGATGAAGATGTTTGAAAAGTACTGCTCGAGCTACGGCGGGTATCCCAGCGCGTCGAAGGTCGACGACCAAGGCCGCCCCGACGACCGCACGATACGGGAAGTGTAATGATGGACAAAATGCAGCCGTACGTGAAGGAAGCGGATGTGAAGTTGCACAAAGGAGGTTGTAGTTGCTGGACAAGTAGCTGTGGAACTATCGTGTTGGATTGAAATAGAGGGAAATGGGGCTTCTACTTGACGGCATGCTGAACGCGGTATTTAACCAAATGCGCCCGCTTCTCTTCCATGGAGATGTCATCTTCGGGGTAGATGAGGACAATGCCAGGTTGCGGTGCGGCAAGCGTGAACGCAAGCGGCTGGTCAAGGGAGTCGCTGGATGGCGCCACAACAGGCTCGACAGTCACGGGAGGTTGCAGCGAAGGAGCGCTAATACCAAACATGAGAGAAACGAGGAGGATTATTATGGCGATACCTCGGTGGGACCACGGGAGAAACGACTGCTGTTGGAGCGAGAGGAGGCGGTGCCATACCGGGCGCGAACGGAATCATAGGCGGTGGTCGCATGCCTGGGGGGAATGGCGTCATCGGCGGCGCGCCTGCAGGAGCAAAACCAGGGGGCGGTGGAAATGGAGGCCGAAGTAGATGTGGAGGTGGCGGAGGGCGTGGCGGAGGAGCGCCGACGACTCCTTGAGGAACAACACCAAATGGGTAGCCTGTTGGTGCGGCCATGTGCATCATCGGTGGTCGCGGCGGATACATCATCGCCGGTGGAACAGTAGGCGCATGCATTAGTTGTGGTGTGATCATCGGTTGAGGTGGTGCATGCAGCATGCCGCCCTCGACACGCATACGCTTGACAGGGTCGTCCATGATGTTGGTCGGCCCAGTCGCCGTCTTGGCCGTGTTGTAACCGGGTACCCCTTCCATGCCATACACCTCCACGTCGACGGACTCTTTACCAGGTTTCGCGTTTGGCACATGCAGAATTGTCTCGTGGTGCACTTGAGCAACGTGGACGACCATGCCACTGGCCGTCGAGAGCTTCTTGTTGCAGTAGTTGCACTTAAAATGGCGCGCCTTCTGGTGCATGATCAAGACTTTCTCGTCATCGAAAACTCTCTCACAGTAGTAGCAGTAGATGCGCGCGATCTTGGTCTCCTCCACGCCATCTTCCCTCCGCTTCTTCTTCCCCATCCTGCCTGTGGTGCTCTGCACTTGGCAGTGCAGGCAGAAATTTGACGAATTTTAGCCAATCAGATGAGAATAAAAAAATTCGAATTTGTGCAAGATCCATGCCGACGGCTGCAAAGCCATTTTTTCTCCAACACAAGGGCTCTATGCGCCGACACAAGTGCTTGCGATGGACCTGCAGCTCCGTGGATGCGAACTCTTTCGCATCACGCCGCGCCATGGCCCGGCGCCGTGTGCTACGTTTCCTCCCCCGAGTAGTTGTCCAGCTCTTCTTGTCGCCTGAACTTGCAGATCGTTCACAAGCAAGTTCTTGGGCACCAGTATGGATGTGACTGGTCCCCTGCATCATCCCGACCACAGGGAAGATGAACTGTACGGGCCCACATGCACAGACACGACCACTTCGCTGTTGCATGATGTCCACGTGGACGAAGGTGCAGTTCGTCCATGGCAGGTGCCGCGGCGGTGGGCCGCCATGTGCTCCCTCTGATTGGAGGAGGTACGAATACTGCAGTCTAATTGGCTGAAATGCCACCGCCGCCTCGCCAGTCGATGGCGAGGAAAGCATCGAAAGAAAGAGGTAAAACCTTTGACATTGCATACCTTGTGTCGAATGTGATTGGTCGAGAGAAGTGATTGGTTGGAGAGTTTTTTGGCTGGCGGGGACGTGGAGCGCATTAAACAGGAACAACCTCGGCACCGAGCAAGCATGGGCATGTAAGTGCGCAGCGAAGCGAGGATGAGTTTGTGGTGTGACACGGAGGGTGTGCTTTGTAGTGTCAAGAACGGAAAAGTTGTAGTGTTGTTGAACGGCCGATACGCCGGCCGCAAGGCCATTGTGGTCAAGACGTATGACGAAGGCCACGGCGACCGCAAGTTTGCCCACGCCATTGTGGCTGGTATCGACCGCTACCCCCGCAAGGTCACTCGCTCGATGGGCAAGAAGAAGGTCGCCAAGCGCTCCAAGATCAAGCCGTTCGTGAAATACGTCAACTACAACCACATCTTGCCGACCCGCTACGTGGCCGACATCGAATTGAAGAAGGTGCTGGACGACGAAGTGTTGGCCACCCCCGAAGCCCGCATTGAATCCCGCAAGACGATCAAGAAGGTCTTTGAAGACCGCTACTTGAACCAAGGCGCGACCAAGTCGGAAAAGAAGGCAGCCGGTGTGTCGTTCTTCTTCAAGAAGCTCCGCTTCTAAATGGTGGGCTCGGACTGCATCCTTGCCGCCTGTGCTCTGCAATGGACGTCGGCACGTGCGGCTGTCGTCGTGTGGGGCTAACACTACAATACATGAGACTGTTCCGCTCGCAGGTCATTCCCGGCGGGCGCGTTCACGCCAATGCCATCATCAACTCCAATTCTTTTCTGTCCATGTTTGTCACGGCCTCTGTCCTCGAAATGCGCTGTATGAAGCACTCAAGGACGCCGGACGCTGCCATGCAACTTTTCTTCCGGCAGCATCGCAACGTCATGGCCCAGACTAGTGCATGGTGCTGTTGGCCATTGGGCATACATCTGCCGCAAGCACAGAGTACAGAAATGTTGGTTCGTTTACTGTGCGAACTGCTCGAGTGTTGCGACGAGTGTGGCAACAGAGGGCCGCGAGGCGGGATGCACTTGCCAGCACTGTCGGAGGAGGTCGGCCAAAGGCGTCGGCATCCCCGGTAAACTGGAGTACGGTAACGTATCGGAATGGTTGTACAGAAAGATATCTCCCCGGACGAGTCCTTGTTCGTGATATAAGGCCGAATGCGGCGCCTCGGTCGTCCAGATCATAGCTGCCACAACGGCGAGGGCGTACACGTCGCTGGCCATAGTGGGCTCGTTGTCTGTGTAGGTGCGGCGTTCGGGGGCAAGAAATGCCACGTTGTTGGCTAGGCCGCTTGTGTTGGAGCAGGCTCGTTTGGGCTCGTATACCGCGCCGTGGGGGCCGCGTGCCATGAGGTGGAATACGCTGAGCTTGGCACCGACGCGGGGGTTGTCGTCGTCCGCTGTGGAATCGCGGTACACAAGGACCTTGTCGGGGTGGATGCTACCGAACGCAAGGTTGTGTGTCGTATGGAGGTAGTCCAGTGCCCGGCCGATGTGCAGCGCCAGATGCAGCGGTCCTCGAAGCGTCGCCGCGGTGGATGATGGTTGTTTCTTCAGTTGAAGTAAATACGCGCCAAGGCTGCCTTGGTCCATAAATTCGGTGGCAACTGCAACGTCTTCGTGGTGCTGGAGGCACCCGACGCCCAAGACAGATGTGATGTGGGGGTGCATGATGCGCCGAATGAACTGAATCGAGTCGAAGAAGGCATGGCTCGTGGTTGACGAAGCGTCTGCAGCGTTGGCGAGAACACGAACGACGACCTTTTTGCCTTGGATTGTGACTACTTTGAGGTCGAGATCGCCGCCCTTGAGCGGATTGGCCTTGACGAGGTCGAGAGAAGACATCCAGAGATCGGTGAGATCCGGTCGGGAGGCTCGGATGCGATCGGGAAGGTTATGGCGCGAGGATGGTCCGTCCGACGATGGAACGGTGAGCGCACTGGAGGACATGGTTGATGTGGGCACGGTGGCATCTAACACTGGCAAGTCGTCGTCGTCCGAGATGCTGTGGACGGGAGCGAAAGCGACAGGATGGGTGGTGTTGATGTCCGTGTTGGCAAGCAGCGGCAGCGCTTTGGGTGTCTGGGCGATGGCATAGGGAAAAGCTTCCAAATCGTCATCGGCCACCGGTTGTTGGTGACGACTACGGCGAGAGCGTTGAATGAAAAGAAAGACCGCTAATGCAACGAGAACGAGACCACAAACACAGCCGCCGATGAGCGGCCCTGGCGATGAGGTAACCTCGGCAACAGGAGGAGTGGTCGTGATGGATGGAGCGAGAACGCTGGATTCAGGAAATGTGGAGGGAGTTGCAGTCGTCGTCGTCACGTTGAGTTTGGTGACGGATGGAGTGTTGGGTTGCGTTGTGCGACAGAGGAAGACGGAAGGAAGGTTCGAGCGGCAGAAGGACGGGCTGAGCCCAACGTCTGCCAACAGGTCGAAGGACTCCGACTTGAATGGTACCGGCGAACCCAAGACCTGGGTGATGTCAGAGAGGGAACACACCGATGCAGCGGGCGGACATCGCACGACGACACGGATGTCATCAGCGCATTCTTTCAACGACCCTGCTTCTTTCTCGACGCCGCAGAATCCCCTGGCGTTCGCATCATTCGAGTTGGACACACACAATCCACGGCATTCGGGAGGTGTCGACGATGCCGTCGTGGCGGAGCTTGAAGGCGCCAAGGGGACAATCGTCGCGCCGTTGGGCTGTGCGTCGTCCATGGGGTGTCGAAAGCCAGGAAGTCGACGACTGCTGGCACATTGCCCGACCGGAAATTAGACGCGTTTTATTCCTGACGAGACGTCGACGGCGCGAATAAAACGTACGTTATATAGGAGGAGTGACGCAGCATTTACCTTCTACCGCTCTTGACGTTGAAACGACGAGGCCTTTAGCAGTACTGCATCTTGTGTGCTTGTGTATTCTCCACTATATAGTCAGTAGTACATACACCCAGCCAACACTGTCGTCGTTCGTGACGCTGAAACACAGCTTCTTGGTAATGGGTAATGCTGGACGTTCCATTACTGTAACGAAAGAGGTTGTTCTGGACATGTCCCCCCTCCACCTCTGCAAAAAGACTAGCAAAAAAGTGTCGGCCAATCACATGCCTTGATATCTGTAAAAATATTACATACTACGTAGTACCATGCAAAAGACTTCACATTTTCACGGAGTACACTACTCGAGCATGGTGCAAACCAACTTCAGATTATAAAAATCGCCCTGCACTGCGGCAACGATCCTGAAGGCACAGTGTTCGTGTAGCGTCATTTTGCAATGTCTCGTATTCTGTATGCTGTTTTGAATTGCTGGACTGGATTTCCTGAATAAATGAGGCCAAAAATACAATGCTGTTTTATTCAATTGCCAAAAGACCTGTTTTGGAATTTCAGAAGAGCTTCCATGGATGCCTCTTTTCAAAATCGAAAATTCAATTGGATCAAGACTCTCTCGTAGTTTTAGGCATCGCACTCCACGTTGAAGGCCGTGGAGTCGGTTGTCATCGCACCCTTCTTCATGTGAGAGCGAATATAATCTTTGTCACCATGTATTACGATGCATTTCTGCATCACGATTTGAAGAGTAATGAAGGTTTTTTGACAACGTGTCCACAGGCAACTAATTTGACGAGTTTCTACAGCATCAATGTGGTCCTCGATTGTTCGAGTGCGCTTCTGATACTGCAGACTTTCAATGGAGTTACACCAACTGTTTCGGATGTTGCAATGTTGTATCGACATCAATCTTAGTGGCGCATGCACCAAAGAATGCAGTTGCAAATTAGATCAGATGCACATCTGTGCGGAATGCAATGCTCTTAAACTCACCACGACAGTCGACAAGACACAAAATTTGGGTGGTGCAAAAGCATAGCCGCACAACCGTTTCCGCGCCAAATTTGACGTCTAGCTACACATATCGCTATTCGCAACGTATGGACACAGCAGATTAACCCACAGGCAAAAAGCGCACAGGGCGGCGCTTTGTGTTCAAAAAGAGAGACATCCATCGCATCATTCGTCTTGCAATCCATAAACAAGAAACCTCCCGAACGATCGCGGCAATCATGAAACCAAGCACAAGTCACACGACAACTTTGCATTGCGTATCTTACCCAGCTCAAAATTATTCTGACGTACCGAAAACGAAAGTCTGATCCAGCACTAACAGCGGAACTTAAATAAATTTGTGGATTGGTTGTTTACCGTCTTCTCCGATGAGAAGAAGTTCAACCTAGCCGGTCCAGACGGATTTCAATACTACTGGCATGAAACCCGCTTGCCGGAAAAATGCTACTCGAGTCGTGTTGACGGTGGACGAAGTGTAATGGTTTGGGGCACCTTTTCCAACGACGGAAAGAGTGAACTCGCGTTTCTACAAGGAAGTCAAGACTTAGACAAGTAATGCGAGAAGGTTGACTTGTACCTTGTTCCATTTCTTGCAAATTTGGAGGCCATCCATGAAGGAAGACCCATTGTTTTCAACACGACAACGCCTCAATTCACGTTTCAAAGATGACCCTTGCCCATCTGAGCGAACGTGGCGTTTCAATTAGAAAGTGGCCAACCAAAAGCCCCGATCTCAACCCAATTGAAAATATCTGTGATCTCTTGGCGCGGGCCGTGTACATCAAGGGTCACCAGTTCAACAATGTTATGGACCTGAAGCAGAAATTTGCCTTGGAGTGGAAGATTATTTCTCTGGAGTACTGTCGAACAATGATCGACAGTATGTCAACTCGAACGGCACACACAATATTGAAACGTGGCGCCGCAATTGACTTTAGGCCATGTAGTTAGTGCGGCTATAAATGTGTTCCAATGAAATCACTTAGGGTTTTGAATTGTAGTGTAACCGTTTTGACTTATGGGAAGCCATACAATGGTCGTCAGAATGGTTCGCCACTCGAATATTCTTCGGCTTCAACTTAGTTTTTGTCCAATAATAATCGATATCCAGAATACAGTGAATTCATTGGCTGATGACATCATTCTCCCGCCCGCGTGCAATAATTTAAACTTCACCTCACATTTCATTTGCAAATCAATGACTACGCTGTCAACGCTCCGCGTTCGCAAAAAGCGCGGTTACGAAATGGCTCTTCGGCTATAAGTTCTCGAATTGGTAGAGACCTCCAACGTGCACAATGTCGCCAAACTCGTTGGCATCCCACGACGCACCATTCGTTCATGGGTCGCCCAAAGAGAAGAGATCGTCGCCTACGACGGAAACAAAAAGCGAATGAAGCTCAGCCCTGGCGGTCGACCCGAGAGCTTCCCCGACCCGGTAGCACTTCTGGAGTTCATAAATGAAATGAGAGCACGCGAGCGTGCATTAATTTCTGCTCACATGATCAACTGGATTAAGCGTCACCAATCCGACTGGCTTCGCTCGTATCTGTATGGCAAGGCCCCAGGCACCGGTTACCAAGGCATCCTCCACCTGCTTCAACGCTTTTGCCACCGCCATTGCTTTTCTCGTCGCAAGGCTGGCCAAGGAAAGCAAACTCAGGCTGCCCTCATCGAAGTCCGAGATGAGTTCCACCGCTCGTACCAACAGTACACCAATGATGCCGTCTACAATGTTGATGAGACGGGCTTCTACTACGACAAGCCCCCACGATACATTTGGGGCGTACGGGGTGGTTCTGCCAAGATTGCGTCGGGCGAGAAGCACTCGATGCGTATGACCGTTGTCCTCACGGTGCGGG